TTAACTTAGTCTACAAAAGCCGTACCTGTCTATTCTCCCCTTTTATGTTGTGTATGCCATTATTTTCTTTTTCACATGTATGTTTAACAAATCATAGTAGCTACAATTATTTTAACACTCTTCACTTTTAACATTTTAAAGTATAGTTAAGTGGTTTACACACCACCCAAGTACAGAATAAGAATCTTTTTAAGCCTGATAGTGTATTTCCCTTTATTACTGTGTTGTATACTTTCAGATGTTTTAATGTCACTGACTAATGTCTTTTTGTTTCAGCTGAAAAAACTTCTTACAGCATTTTTTCCAAGGCAGGTCTAGTGGTGATGAACAGCCTCAGCTTTTGTGTTTCTAGGAAAGTCTTTATTCATACTCGTATCTGAAGTGTAACTTTGTGGGATAGAGTATTCTTGGCTTTCAGTTTTTCTTTCAGTACTGACTGTGTCATTTTACTCTCTCCTGGCCTGTAGGATGTGTGCTTTGAAAACTGCTGATAGCTTAGTGAAGATTCATTTTTAGGTTATAATCTCTCTCTCTTTTTTTTAAGGATTCTCTCTTTATCTTTGATTTTTGATAGCATTATTATAATGTGTCTTGGAGAAGCTCTTTTTTCATGAGATAATGGAGTTATCTGTTAGCGTTCTGAACTTAGATGTTTAAATCTCTCCCAGGTTTTGGAAGTTCTCAGGATTATTTATTTAAATAAAATTTTTGCCACCTTCTCTGTCTTTTCTAATTTTTAACGTCTATTATTCTAATTTGGTTTTGATGGAATCCCATAGATTACGTAGGCTTTCTTTGTTATTTCTCATTCTTTTTTCTTTGCTCAGCACTGACTGGGTTATTTCAAACTCCCTGTCCTGTAGCTCACTTTTTCATTTTTCATCTGCTCTACTCTACTGCAGATGCTCTCTATTGCATTTTTCATTTCATTCATTGAACGCCTCATATCCTGAATTCCTGTTTGGTTCCTTTTTATAATTTTTATCTCTTTGGTGAGTATCTCATTTTGTTCATTTTTCCTCCCTTATGTCATTCAATTGTTTTTCCGAGTTTTCTTGTGGTTGTTTTAAACAGCTGTTTTAAAAATCTTTATCAGCCAGGTTGCAAAATTCTGTGCCTTTCAGCTTTGTACTTTGAGAATTATTGTTCTCTTTAGGTGATGACATATTTTCTTGATAATTCATGTTTCTTGCAAAATTCTGTGCCTTTCAGCTTTGTACTTTGAGAATTATTGTTCTCTTTAGGTGATGACATATTTTCTTGATAATTCATGTTACTTCTTTGAAGTAGCAGACATCTCCTTAAATCTTTACTAATTGCCTCAGATGGGTTATTCCATCTTTTGTGATTTTATAGGTGAGTTTTCCTCTGCCTTTGTATGGGTACACATGTTCCACTCTTCTCGTTCCCTCTTGTTGTAGAATTCTTAAGCTATTGTATTTTCTCTGGTTCTTACCACCTAACCAGTCTCACTATTGGAAACCTCTATTTAGTTTTCCGGAATGTGGCTCTAGAGCTCCTGTTTGTGGTTTCTCCCTCGCCCAGAGACCCTGATCTCTCTTTCTGAGAGAACTCAGTTTACTAGATTTGCTCTCACTGCTGCTCTCAAGAATATGCACAAGAAGCTAGTGGCAGGGTGGGGAGAGGTGTGGGTTTAAGACTGGGAGGCTGGGGTTTCTCGTGCATCTGGTCAGGAGATCTTCTTGTGGTACTCTTAGTTGTGGTACTCTTAGTGGCTCATTGGTGGACTTCCTGCTGAAATAGGGAACTATACTTCATTAATACCTTTGATATATGTTTTTTTGATCCCTTTCCTGATCTCCTCTCTCTCTCCAGTCATGGATTACTTGTTCAGTAGTCTAGGTACTTCTAGGGATAAAGAGGTTTCTGAATGCATCTAGCACAACTGTGGTATCCTGGGTACTCAGTGACTGTTCTTTTTCCCCTGCAGGAGAGTTTGCCACGACGAATTGTTTAACTTCTGCAGTGTTGCCTTGGGAAAGGTGGTGCTGAGAAATCTCCTTTCATTGTCTTCACTGTAAACAAATTCGTATTTTTCTTCAGCTCCAATTGTGTGCTGGAATCCTCTCTCAGGAAGTGCGACCTTCTGCAAAGTCTCTCTCATTCATGGGTGGCTGCTCAAATCATCTCTAGCCTTTGCTCAACCCTGACCAAGATGGGTTGGGGCAGGCTCACACTGATCCTGCTGGCTTTGTAGCCCATACTGAAGTCTGTTTGCCTGTTACTGGTTCACAGGTGGGCAGATTCCTCCTGGTCTCTTGGCATTTGGTGCTGGATACTACAACTCCCACAAAGGTACTTTTGTTTGTGGATGACTTCTAATTCATTGTTACTAAAGCAGGAGAAAAAGGAGGAATGTCTTTTCAGTGCTAAGATGCTGATATCACTCCTTTCCCTGATAATTTTAATCTATCTATCTACTTATGTAGATATGCAGTCTATTTGATGTGAATATTATAACATCAAAAAACATCAAGTCAAAATTTTTGTTTAAAGGAATTCTGGCTTGGTGTTGTCCCTAAGGTATCTGACAGAAGTAATGTAAATCATTTCTGAGGGAACACATTTTAAACTGAAGCATCAATGTTTCCCACAGATAAATTTTAAGGAACATTGTTTAAGATAAAAAAATTACTCACACGCAATTAAACAAGGCACTTGAGCAAGAGTAAGAAACAATATCAAACTATGGAGTGCAATTTGGAAAACTATGTATTTATATTATTAGCTAATAATTATTTCAATAAGTACGTTTTAAAAGTTTAAATAAAGGATATTATTGAAAGTAAGATAAAACAATATGAGACTTTCCAAGCTGACCATGTGGATAAAGAACAATGTGAAACCTTTAGAGAGAAAACAAAATGTTATGATTGAAATTTGAAATTCAATGGATGAGTTAAACAGCCCACAAGCACAATTTATGAGAGAACTAATTTACTGGAATAGAGATCTTTAAAAATTAAACAGAGCACAGTAGAGGAAGCCAAACAATGGATGTTTCAGTGATGTGGAAAGTAGAGCAAGAAGATTCAAGATACAGCTAACTGGGGTTCCAGAGGCATATAATAGAAATATTAATAGAAATATAGAGACAATGTTAAGAGTATTAGCTTTGTTTAGTAGGAGCACACCAGACTTAGGCTACCATATTGATTGAATGAACATTAGAGGAAGCTGTGAATGTCTCCGTGATTGCAAGAAGAACAGTATATATTGCAGTTGCTCAATAAATCTTTTTGTTGTCATGATTATTGGTCATGATGATGATGGTAACGATAATGAAGAATGTGATTGTCTCCTCTGTTCTCGCAAAATTCTCTCCCCATTCAGTCTTACTGTGGACATAACACATCTAAGTCTGGATGAATTACACATATCTGTCTGTTACCATTTCTCCTTCCGTATTGACTACTAATCTTAAATTTCTTCTCTAATTAATAACTTCATTCCTTCAGAATTATTTTCAAAACAGTGCATAAATCAACTGTTTTCAAAACATGTTCAAGGGACTATGAAGCAATGATTAGTCTGATTTTGGGGAATGAAACTGTCCACCTTACTTCTCAGGCTATAGTCTTATGCTTCTATGGGTATTTTCTCTTTTCATTCATTTTGGAATTAGGAGGCTGAGAAATAGTTGGGGAAAGAAAGACACTCTGGGTAGCTAATACTGACAAATATTTGTAGTTCACAAACGCAGTTTATTCCATTCATGTCACAGCCTACTTCCAGGGAAATCTCCAAGACTTCTACTTTTAACCATATACAACTCTTAGGCTGTATTTGGCATCTATTTTCTACCTTTCACAGCTTTCTATTATTTTCTTTCTAGTTTGAGTTCATCTAAATAAAAATGGGTTTGTGTTGGTAGTTGTTCTATGACCATCTGGAGAGATGACAACTACAGCATCTTGAAGAGGGCATTCAGTACCTAAGGCAAAAACATTATTTTGGTTATTTACCATTTGGCCTGAGGACTTAGTGCTTACTTTCCCTGGACTGGCTCCAAAGAGAAAAGGAGGAAGAACTTCCAGAAATCCTGCCTCAGTTTCCTAATCCCCATATCCACTGCCTAAGCATCCTAACCTTTACATGAGTTAAAGTCAGTTTATTTTGTAGGAGAAGTCTTTAACCTAGGAACCATGAATAGAATGGAGGGTGACTGAGAATCTAACAAAACCATGTGCAAAGGCGGTAAGTAGCTGCAGTTTGCTTGGTAGATGGTCCAGAATTTCCAAAAGAGTTTCAAAAGTATCACTGACTCAAAGAAGATCAGAAATCACTGTCCTAGATAATTTAACTCATAAGTATTTCTATACTGAGGAAAGAAAAAATACGCCTCTGAGGAAAGGAGCATAATGGCTCTTTCAATCTTTCTTACCTAATTTCTCAGTATCTTTCTTAGCATCGTTAATAAGAGTAAGTCACATCCATTTCCAAGCTGCTTCTTGGTGTGTGACTCGTCCCACCATCCCATTGCATTATTCTTATATCTTTCAAGGCTGTATGAGTGCAGAAAGACAGCTATAGAAATGTCCACACTCCCTGATTACAGATTAATTGAACATTAGTTCTCAAGGAGATTTTAAAGAGCATGTATTTCATCATCCTTATTTGACGTATGAGGCTCACAGGATTCAGTGGCTTCTTCAATCACCGAATAAATGTCAGAGCCATGCCTTGGCAGAATCGTTCTGTTTCACCATATAGAAAGATGACAGTGTTTTTCTGGTTTACTATATGTCTAAGTCTCCTATTTTTTTTGAGGAAGATTAGCCCTGAGCTAACTACTGCCAATCCTCCTTTTTTTGCTGAGGAAGACTGGCCCTGAGCTAACATCCATGCCTATCTTCCTCCACTTTATACGTGGGACGCCTACCACAGCATGGCTTTTGCCAAACGCTGCCGTGTCCACACCTGGGATCTGAACTGGCGAACCCTGGGCCGCTGAAGCTGAATGTGCGAACTTAACCGCTGCACCACCGGGCTGACCCCTCCTATATTTTTAAAATCTGGAACAGAAAAACATGAAATCAAGACATTTTAGTAGATAATGTACTAATGGTGCCTGTTTACTGTCTTTTGTCCCCAAAGAGAATGACAATATTTAACTAAGAGAAGTTTTTAGTTAAGTTTCATGATTATACATGAAACACAGATTAACTTGACATTCATGATTGAAGATGTATACACAGTCAGTAGCATCACTGGAAAAAAATAGTGTCTTCTTTTGTTTTTTGAGGATGAAAACATTTCCTTCTCTCATCTTTTTCTCAGCAGATAGTACTGAGCAGGTCCATGAAAGAGGATAGAAATCATACTTCTGTGGCCATGTTTGTTCTCCTGGGACTGTCAGATGAAAAAGAGCTGCAACTTATCCTCTTTCCAATCTTCCTAGGGATCTACCTTCTGACCATAATCTGGAACCTTGGTCTCATCCTCCTTATCAGGATGGACTCCCACCTGCACACACCTATGTACTTTTTTCTCAGTTTCCTGTCATTTATAGACATCTGCTATTCTTCTTCCATCAGCCCAAGGATGCTTTCAGACTTCTTAAAAGATGAAAAAACAATTTCGTTCATTGCTTGTGCCACCCAGTATTTTGTTGGGTCCTGGATGGCTCAGGCTGAGTGCTGCCTGTTGGCCGTAATGGCCTATGACAGATATATTGCTATTGGTAGGCCTCTGCAGTACTCAGCCATCATGGATCCTGACCTCTGTCAGAAGATGGTTGCTGGAGCCTATGGGAGTGGTTTCCTTGGTAGCTTAATTCAAACAGTTTCTTGCTTTCATCTCTACTTTTGTGGGCACAATATCATTCCAAATTTCTTCTGTGACATAACCCAGATTATTTCCTTGTCTTGCTCCAATCCCTTTATGAGCCAAATGATTCTTTTTCTGGAATCTATTTTTGTTGGATTCACTTCCTTCCTTGTCATCCTCTTATCCTATGGTTTTATTGCAACTTCCATCCTGAAAATATCCTCCATAAAAGGTAGTGCCAAGGCCTTCAATACCTGTGCCTCCCACCTGGCTGTTGTGACAATATTCTATGGCATGGGCTTCTCTGTGTACCTGCATCCTAGCTCTAGCCACTCCAAAAAGCAGAACAAGGTTCTGTCAGTGTTCTATGTTATCCTCATCCCAATGTTAAACCCTTTTATCTATAGTCTGAGGAACAAGGAGATCAAAGAGGCCTTGATGAGGGTAGTAAAGAAGGCAACATATTTATCTCAGTAAGAATAATATTTGAGCAAATATTATTTCCTCCATAAGGAAGACAAGGGTAAAAATATGCAAGTGACCTTTATAGGTTACAAGAAAGCTAGGTAGAGAGAAGAAGTGAAAACTTGGCTTCTCATGTCTTAATGCCATTATGTTTAGCTGCCACCACCAAGTGATCTGCCTAATGCAGTGTCAGCAACATTGAATTCAGTTTAAAAGGTCTTTTTCCATGATTAGACCTAGGCAGGTAAAACAGTGTTTCGAGATTAGAAGTTCTGATTGATATTATATGTAGATAAATGAGAAGACCTAGGAAGCCACTCAAATAGGTCTTTCCTCTACAATTCTTAAAATGTCTTTTATTTATTTTTAACTAGGTATTTATTTATGTTTTGATTACAATAAAACAAAATCATGTATAAAATTATAGATGTGAAAATTAAGAGTAATTTTTAAATGAATACTTTTATAATTTCATCCCAAAGGCAGAGGGTGTGAGAGGGAGGGACACAGAAAAAAGAGAAATGGAAAGAGAGAAAAAGTCAGAGAGAGAAAGAGAGAGAGGAGATGAGAGGAGAGAAGAAGGAGAAAGATAATCTAGCTTTATTCTCAAATAATCTTATTCCCTCTATCCTACTCCTTGAGTGTCCTTGTGAAGTGAATTATGAAAAAAAAATTGGAGAAAGGAATGGTAGATAGAAGGGGCACTTTTCAGGTCAAGAGTTGGGGAGATTCTCAGAGACTAGAAAGAAGTCAAAGTCATCAACTTCTGGGCATAGGTGGCCTGGAGCATACTCCAAGGTAGCTTCCCAGAGACCATATAAGACCTCAGAAATGAAGGCTTTCATCGTGAGTGTGGGCGACAGGGTCTAAGTCCCAGTGCTCTGAGCCTCTCAGAGATTCCCAGGCCTTAAGTTTGACCAGGGAGCAGCAGAGACACCAGACTTGAGGGACCATGGAAACTCAGAGTCCAACCAAGAGAACTTAAAGAAAATTTAAGAAGAAATATTTTTTTCAGGAAAGAGTTTAAGTACTAATCTTCATACGTATTATATTAGTATTTATACAATACTTTCAACTTCATACGGTTACATTGCATAGAAGTGATTCTTTTCTATTAACACGTGCAGTTGGTTGATGAGGAATTATTCCCCTTTTACAGATAGAACCTTTGGGCATATTGTGGTCTGCCACATTCTTCTCAGTGTAGCAACAATCCATCTTGAATCTCATGAAGTGTCATGTGTGGAGCACAAATGGTTCTTAGTGACATAAAGATGTCCTCCATTGCTTATCCATGGCACCAAATTCTACACTTTGAGGTTGTATTTTTAAAACCATCTTAAGGGCCTGTTCAATTTAAAAGATTAAATTATTACAGTTCTTACCAGGGGATATATGACTACTAACCTATTAGCAAGAGTTAAATAATTAACTCATTGCCCCACCCACTCCTCTCTCTAGAATTAATGATAGCTGAAGTAGATGAAACAAAGAATGAGACATTCCAAAAACATCTCTGTATCCCTAGTAACGGCAAGGTAGATGAGTTCCATCTAAACAAAAAAAGACAAACAAGTTTGTGGGAATGATCTTAAATAGATATTCTTAATGAATGCTTAATAATGCAGCATAATATGTTGAAAGGAATTCCAATTCAGAACACATAAATTAAGCCTATTCTTAATAGAAGACATGCTGTGTACTTCACATTCTGATAAGTGATTTATAAGCATTATCTAATTTGATTCTATAAAAAGCTACTCTGTGAAGTAGCAACTATGATCAGCCCCATTTAATAGGTGATAATGCTGTGGCTTCGAGAGGTTAATTTGCTCAACCAGTAAGTGGAAACCTGGAATTCCACCCAGATTGGCTGATAACAGTGCCCAAGGCATTAATCACAATAAGTCATGACTCTGATACGAATTAGTTTTATCATATTCCTTATTGCCTTGATTTCCTGCCTATGCATAGGAAATCATGCCATATCTGCCTCATGGACCTGCTAAGATGATTGATTCAGGTCAAATATTTGAGAATATGTATGTATGTATCTATCTGAAATCAAAGAGTTTTGTAAACAAGGAAGTGTCCACATACCTAACTTATTATTAGGCTCTATTGCCAGCCAGTTGTGTCACCTTGGACAAATCCTTTAGATAAATTGGCTTCAAATCCTCACCTGGAAATTGATGATATTAGACTATGTTATCACTATGTCCTTTCCTACTCAAATGACTCCTGGTTGTTAAAAAAAAAAAAAAAAAGCTACATCAATCTTGAGACCATAAGAGGACCATGGGGAAGTGCTGAATTGAATCTGAAGGGACATGGCAAAGTGGGGCATGAAATTAGCACAGAAAAAACTCCGTGATAACCATAACTCCAGAGAGCAGGTATCTGGAGGGTTTTCTCCCTATAATTGTCTTCTCCTTTCATCTCTCACCTAACAACACATTGAGAGGAACCCCAGTGGTGGGCATCTCTTTGGCTCTGAGTGGACAGCCAATTTCAGTGCCCAAATCACTCATCTTTGAATGCAATCTGGTCCGCCTGGAAAATTCCTATGGATAATAAATAAGTGACTTCACCCTTTGGCAAGAACTCTGTCTTCCTGGGGATCTATGTCAAGATGAGAGGACAAGATTTACAGAAAACAGTGAATTCTGTGCTATTTCAATAGCCGTGTAATAATTCCAGTAGGACATTTGTGGAGCAAGGGTTATGGTCCTCAGTCTCTTTCATTCTCCAATTCTTCCCTCTCCCTCATTTATGCACCCTCCACTTCGGGCCCTTTCTCAGGTTCTCTTTTTCCTTACCCAATTTCCCTGACCCTCAATCAAAATAATAACTTCAAAACAAAAATATTAGGTATTACTCTGGTGAGGAGTGGATGTTCAGTTCTAGTTCTCAAATTCTTAAGTATATGATCTTGAAATCTGTTAATTTCTGTTTGCTACTTATAAATTGGGGACAATAGAATCATCTAGAATCCAATGAGATAATGTCTATAAAGCCTACACACTACAGAAGTTAATAATTGAGCACTCAATCAAAATATTAAATTGTGAATTACAGGGGACTTAACTAAGGTAAAACATATTTGTCTGTTTCCCAACTTTATCTATTCCATGAATCTTTTTAATTTAATTTTCCCTTGGGGATTGTGCTTTTGCATAATTATTAATTTGGTTTCTATTTCAGTATATAACTTTGATTCATAATTTCTGAGTAGCAGCAAAAGCCAAGCTGGTCATTTCATGATGATATGACAAAGTTTTCACGTACAATTCTATTCGTCTTTTGAAATACTCCAAATAACCATCCATTGTCATCTTTGAAGACCCTATGGGTCTGGAGACACTAGCACTGGTGACCCAGATATTAGAGATGACCCACCAGATGAACAGGTAGTGTTGGTGGGACTGTTTCTTTTATCCTTCTTTACTATGTTGTTCGTCATTCAGCAACATTCCTGGCTTTCTTAACCTGATTTTATATCCTGCACAAAATTGCAAATTGTCATGTCCTTAGTAGATCATATTTAGAAGGAGTTTTGGTTAGCTGTATCCCCACAGTAATATCTCCAACCAAAATTTACATCAATCATTTTTCTTCTACAAACTGCCTTGGCAGATGGTGAACACACCAAAAAATTAACCAGAGAGAGTGAGTATATTCAGAATGTTTTTTTTCTTTTCCTCTAGCTTACCAAATTATAAAATCATACACTGTTAGGATCAATTTTCTCATGAACAAGTGAAACAATCCACAACTCCTCACAGTTTTCTGTGAATGATGAGCTACATAGAATACATTTAGTCATGGCTGCCTTTGTTACCAGAATGTTAGTAAGAAAGTGAAGAATTTTAGTACAATTATTTGATCAAAAGTTTGACTTATTTTCACCAAATTGATCAATTATGTTGTTGTTTCAGGGATGTTGTGCATGAGAGTTTATACTTTCAAAATGTTTTCATTGAATGTAATGCATCTGGGATAAATAGCTGATAAATTATATTAGCAACAGTCTATTTAAGAGTAAACAGAAAAATTTTGACACTCATAAAACCATAGCGCAAATGAAACAAAAATCTTTCTCGACATCAAAGCTCATCATAGCTTGATGGTAGTTGTCAACTGACTCAAGTGTACATGAATCAAAGCAAACTAAATAGAAATCATTTATGTGGTTTGTGTCTGCATGGCTCCAGGTGGTTTAGCTTGCCTGCGCACTAGGTCTGAATCTATACCTGACCAGAGGTAATGATGTCCGATTGTCTACAGAGCTGATGATGTCTCAGAAATTTCCCCAAATTAACCCGTACAACTCTATCGCACCTGGCATTCCTATTCACGGATATAGCCATCATTCATGGTTATCTGTAAGCAGTCAATGATAATAACAGCCAACATCTATTGAAAAATTAATGTGTACCAGATTATGTGCTGAACATTGGCACGAATTTCCTAATAAAAGCCTCCCATTAACCTTATAGTTTAGAGGCTCTTGTCGTCCTCACTTTGTTAAAAGTAAATCATACCTAGTGTGTTTAAGTGACTAGGACCAGTTCATAGAGTGAGAGAGTATCAGAACTAAATTTTTTTTTCCAGTTTTAGTGAGATGTAATTGATATATAACGTTGCATAAGTTTAAGGTGTACAACACAATGATTTGATATATGTAAATATCGTAAAATGATTACCACAATAAGATTAATTAACACCCGTCACCCCACATAGTCACAGTATTCTTCCCTGTGATGAGAACTTTTGTCGTCTATTCTCTTAGCACTTTCAAATATACAATGCAATATTGTTAACCAAGTCATCTTGCTGTATGTTATATTGCCAGAAATTATTTGTCTTATAACTGGAGATATGTACCTTTAGGCCACATTCACTCAATTCCCCCACTTTCTACCCTCTGCATCTGGCAACCACAAATCTTATCTTTGCTTCTATGAGGTTATTTTTTTTTATACTCCACATTCAAATAGATCATATGGTACTTGTCTTTCTCTGTCTGATTGATCTCAGCACAATTCCTTCAATGTCTATCCAGATTGTTGCAAATGCCAGGATTTCCTTCTTTTTTATGCCTGAATAATATTCTCTTATTATACATATTATTTATGTTACTTATACATAAT